TGAATCGGACCGAATAACTTGCCCGGTTCGGTCCGAGTGGCAGGGGCAAAAGAAGAATTCTTCAAAATTGGTAGTTTCAAGCACTAATTTGGGTGGCTGGAAAAATCCAACCTCTTTATATTAGCCTAGTCGAGCCCAGTTGCGGATGGAATGAGTATAGTGGTGGTGGGGGATGATTAAGTAAATATTGAACCTTAGGTCTTCAGTTGCTTAATGTTGTGAATGAACTAAATTATGCTCCATCTGAAAAACTACTTTGAGTCTTGAATTTTTTTTTGTTTTTTGTTTTGTTTTGGTACAATGGAGGAGACAGTGGCCTAAAATACTAAAAGATCATGTCAGATGAATGAAAGCTCACGACCAAGTTGTCTTCTAACTATGTGAGTGAGATACATTAAAAGATTCTTTAATCTGCTCAAAAGATCCTTTACATTTGTCCGAAAACTTAATTTGGTCCTTTACATTAAAAACTCACTCGTTTGGTCCCTTACATTTGTCTTTCCAACTAATTTAGTCCCTTTTTTTTTAATCTTTTTTGGTCCTTTATATTTGTGAGTTCTTGGGTTGACCAATTCTTTGTCAACTCAATAGGGGTATTTTCAGTAATTTATAAATATCATATTTTTAAAATATGTTAAAAACCAAAAATGTATTAAAACAATACTAAACATATTATATTAATTTATAATTTATTAAAAAAGAAAAAAAATAAAAAATTCAAATATAATATTATTAAAAAATTTAAAAATTAAAAAATAAAAAAATCAAAATCTGATTTTTTTTAACCCGTGGGCCACAATCGAAACATTTTACCCTTGAATTGTTCTATTTTTATCATGTGGGGCCAACATCTAATTTTTTTTCTTTACCCTTATTCAGTATTTTTTTCGTTATACCAAATAACTCATGAAAAGAAAATTGAATAAGGGTAAAGAAAAAGATTAGATGTGGTCCCCACATGAAAAAAATAGAGGGCTTATTTGGACAATGGTTTATTTTGGTTTTTGATTTAGGTTTTTTTTTTCTTTGATTTTGAGATATGATTTAAAATGTGATTTATCACGTGGGGCTCACGTCTAATTTTTTTCTTTACCCTTATTCATTATTAGTTTTTTCTTAAAAACACTGAATAAGATGTTGGCCCTTAAGAACATTGAACACTGAATTATTCTTAAGAACACTGAATAAGGGTAAAGAAAAAAATTAGATGTTAGCCCCACATGATAAAAACAGAATAATTCAAGGGTAAAAAATTTCGATTGGGACTGACGGGTGTAAAAAAAAAAAAATCTCATTTTGGATTTTTCATTTTTTAAAATTTTTTAATTCTTTAATAATATTATATTTGAATTTTGAACTTTTAAAATTATTTTCTTATTTATTAATATAATATGTTTAGTATTATAAATTTATTTTTTTCTTAATATTTTTATATCACCACCGTTCCACCTCCACCGCCGCCAGACCGCCCACCGCCGCTGCTGGACAGACGCCGACCGACGGCCGGCCTGATTCCGGCCAACTCCCCAGAATCCGGCCGGAATCTGACCGGCCGGCCCGGCGGCGGCAAAGGTGGATAAAAATTGGGTAAAAAAAAAGTTTCGATTAGGGTCCACGGGTTAAAACAAATAAATCAAATTTCTTTTTTTTTTTATTTTTTTATTTTTCAATTTTTTTAATAATATTATATTTGAATTTTTAATTTTTAATTTTTTTTTTAATAACAAATTATAAATTAATATAATATATTTAGTATTATTTTATTACATTTTTGGTTTTTAACATATTTTAAAAATCTGATATTTATAAATTACTGAAAATGCCCTATTGAGTTGACAAAGAATTGGTCAACCCAAGAACTCACAAATGTAAAGGGCCAAAAAAGATAAAAAAAGACCAAATTAGTTGAAAAGACTAATATAAGGGACCAAATGAGTGAGTTTTTAATGTAAAGGACCAAATTAAATTTTCGGGCAAATGTGAAGGACCTTTTGAGCAGATTACTCAAAAATTTAATCAGAAAAATATCTCACTTTGCAAAATTTGATATTTGCATAGACCCTAATCTCTCCGTCCAAAAAAATAGTTCATATTGAGTTTTGAGTTTTGTACTAATTTAAATATACTTTTGAAAACTCTATGATTTTTTTTTGTTGGGGGAAGCAAGGAATAGATTAGAAGCTGTAAAGACAGAAAGATTGAACTAAGTACATAAACTTTAGCGTACTTTAACTGATTGCAGAAAAATTCCACTGATCTTCTTACCTGGTGACAAGAAATACTTACTAGTATAATGTGGTGAAGTGGATGAGACTGCGCTTTACCGGGAATGGTAACCTTATCATTAACAAATGAAATTAAAGAAATATTCCGGTGCAGTAAAAAACAGTTGACAAAATTGTACTTAAGCTGAAACATAATTATTCGATGAGTTTGTAGATGAGGGCCAGCAATACTTTTAGTGTCAATGTGATATTCCTTCATCCCCGAAATAATTATCCAATTAAGATTTTCGCTTTTAATACAAATTGAAATAAAAATAAAATCAAAATGGGATAATTTGGGGCAGAAGGAGTACATATATATAGTAGATAGTAGTATTGTAGTGTTCTGGCATTCTTGACAATGAATAATGTAATAATAGTACATGTAATCGCTTTTTGGTGATGTTGATATTTAAGGTACGTCAAAAGAGTGTTAAGAGATAGTGTTGTTATCTATATTTATTGTGCTGATCTTCTTTGCAATAATCATGGATTTGGCGTCTTCAGCGCTTCTGCAAATATCAAAGGCAATTTTACATGCCCTATAGTCCGTGAAAAAGTTGGTTTTGGTCAGCTTTAGATTGATTTTTCCATTCACGAAGGATCAAATTTGCGATATCTTTCCAATCCACAATTTCAAGATCATGGCTTGGGACTCAACGATTTCCTTATTTTCTCTATAGACAAATATTTACATACAGAAAATAGTAATTTAATTTAGATATTATTTAGTTTGAGCATAGCTGCAATATCATCAATATTCATGGATACTGATGGATAATATTTTGACCAAAGCCCAATTAGTTAAAATTTATTGGACCGGCTACGCCCTCAAAACCCAAGGAATATTTCCCACCTTGTGTCTATATATACCACCATTTGTGAGGTGAAGACCAAGCTCATCTTACTCCATTCTTAGCTCAGATGCTTTATTTCGACCACTCCTCAGACTGAGTTACTCGTCGAAGAGCTAAACCTTGTATTGCAGGTCCTAGGTCCGAGGACACCGTTGACTCGATGGCCCGTCGGATTTTGACGTCCCTTCGGACTTCGATGCTCCCTCGGACTTCGACGTCTCCTCGGATTTTGCCTTCGTCAGATACAATATCTTTTTACAGAAGCGTGCTTATAAGTTTTAACTAACAACTAATGAAAAGTTTCTATAAAATTAGATGGGGTTGAAACTTGGATATATTGGTGTCCAATCCATCACTGACATTTTCAATAAAATTGCACCTCCTTTGGAGGATTTGGTAGAACTTGCTGGAAAACCTTGTCTACTTATTAGGACCATAAACCAGCTGATTCTTGGGATTTCATCCATTCGAAAAACAGGAAGAATTTATCAGGCTCGCCGGAAGAGTACCCGTAATAGATCAACCGGCGAGACCATCCCAAAAGAATTAGGATCTTGGTTTTTCATCAAAGTGTTCTTATATTGGTTGTGATTCTACAACTCAGGTTTTCAAACGTATTCTCCATTTCCACCATCTCTAGTACTTTGTACTACCACTACTATGAAATTTGAGAAATATATACTTTCTTCAATAGCTTTGACCCTTACAACACTCTCTCTAATGCTGGCTTTTTAGACCCTTGTTTTAGCTCACTCTCAAATATAAGCCCTAACTAGCTAGACAATCATTTTATGAGTACAGTAGGAATACCATTTTTCTCCCCTTGCTAAAAACGTTTATTTTTGTCTATCACAATTAACAAATTGAAATTATTAGAGAGGAGGGGACTTGATCTTAATCGTCTGATAGTAAATTTTATGAATATTTTTTGAAAAGGGTATTGTCTTTTATATTAAAAGAAAAGAAGAAAGAATGATCATGAGATCATGCGCAATACAACTTGTATATTCATATGCATGCCCGACAAGTTACAATAATAAAAAGACAATGTAAGAGCATATAATTAAATGCGCGATTTAACCTTTATCCGTAACCCTGATCCAGCTACAATATAGTAGGCCTACTTAATCCATAAAAATAATGCAATGTATATATGCTTTTTTTTTTAAAAAAAAAAAAAAAAGTATACTTGTTTTTTTTTTTTTTTCCTTTTTTTCGAAAAAAGTATGCTTAGTTTTGTTCGTTCAAATGTGTACCAATATGGGGTATCTAATTTTAAATTTAAAGGAAAATGCATATGTGATATCTCTCGTTCTTTTTGTCTTTTCTTTTCTTTTGTTTTTCTTTTATATATATGCAAGTGCATGCAGTTATTATAGTACACACTACACAATATTGGAGTTTTTTTTTTCCTTTTTTTTGGGGGGTAAACTGATGGAACAATTTAAAATTTGCTCGGTTGAGATCCAATCTCATGATTATAAGTATTAATATTACTATTTTTTTGAAGTGACAAAAGTGAATGTAGGAGAAAAATTTATCATCATAGAGCATAAGCATAAATAAGCAAAAACAAAAACTAAAAATTTATCGAAGTAAGTAATGGTATTCATGTCTTTCTTTCCTCATCATGTAATTTTCCTCGTAGAGTTGGATTGTAGAAGTATATGGATGAGTTGGTCATGATTAATTACTTGATTTTCTTTTACAAAGAAAGAGACAAGGTTCTAATTACAAGAAATCGTACCTGAATAGGAAACGTTAATTAGGGCATGTTCCAACTACAGTTGAACTTTAACCGCATGAAGAAACAATTATTGATATCCACTTGGTCTTTGAGAAGCCATATCTGTCCTACCATCAAGAACGAAATTGGTCTCTCTATACATGTTTCAAAACTGCCATCTAAAATCTCCCCAAGAGCATATTGACATTGATTGAGATATAACGCATGAAAGTTGGATATGGAATTTAACATGAAGATGTGATAGAACAGATGATTAAATATTTAGGGGTACTCCTAATAATTGACAATTTAAAATTTATTGAATGGCAATTAATAATTTCTTTTTTCTACATCTATATAACAGATCCTTCGTATGTGACCAATACATCGTTTGAAAATGTTTTAAAAAGTTCATTTTTAGTTCGACATTTGCATCTTCCTCAACAAATTAAATCCACTAGCTCCAAACTTTCCTATGAGTAGATACGAGGATGATTTCCATGTTAAAAATTGTAGTTGTATTGCTATAACCCATATCATGAGGAGCCTAAAGACTCGAATTTTCCCAATACAACATGAATGAAAATTCATCAAAATGCAAATAGCAAATCAAACAAACTCTCACACAGTACAAAAGCAGAAAACACAAGAGCAGAAATTTGTTGCTGAATACTGAACCCCCGACACAGTAAACTTAGATTTACTAGCTAGGGGAGGCATCATCACTCTATTCATAACATAGATCTATATAGAGAAAAAAGTGCCTTCGTTCAAAGCTGAATATCCTTGATCAAAGATTTCCAATATTCACTCATGGATCAATATTTAGATTGAAACCTGATTCGCCAAACTTTTCTTTCATCAAGCTTTCAAGGCGTTCAGCCATTGAAGGAGTGAGAAAATTCGCCCAATCTCCGACCTCTCCTTTCCTGAACAGTGAACTGAACTTAACATTGTACATTCCAATCTCACCATGTTTATTACATTCCAAGTTCTTGAGGTTTTCGAGGCTGCAAAGCTTTATGATTCCTTCAACAACCCTTTCATCTTCTTCTTGCGGTGAAAACGGGCATCCCAAGAACTCGGCCATTTTCTTGACACAAGATTTGGTATCCTTTTTAAGCTCCTCATAATGCAAGAACAACACTTTGTTAGGGTTTTTCAAGCTTGCCTCCTTGTAACCCTTGATGTGGTCCCAGAAAGGACCATATTGATTTGTGCCCTCACAAAATGCGTCGAAATTTTCCTCCCAACTCTTTTCAGCCAAATCTGGGAAAGCACCGTTTTGATAAAAGAAATGGACATAAGAGGTAAACACGTCCAAAGGGTTCCTACAGAGATAGAGAATTCGACAATCAGAAGTATCCAGGACGGTGTCTGGAAGGCACTGGTAAGCTAAATGGGTCCCGAAAATTCGCCGTTGGCCACCAGCAACGTTGAGGGAGTTTGGATCGGGGATTTTTCCCTTTTCGTACAGATTGAGTTCAAGAAACAAAACAAGTTGATGAGGGTTTTTGGAGAGCAAAGGGCTCTCAGAGATCGGGAATTTGTGCCGATTAGCAATGGCAAAAGTAAGGGCTTTAAGCCACGTGGTACCTGCTTTAGGCATGGTGGCTACAACGATGTCGGAGTCTTGGGCTTCAAAGTGTTGTCGGAATGCCAGTATTCCGCGCAGAACCTGTTCCTCAAACCAAAAGCCTCTGTATTGAGCAAACAGCCGGCTTTTGAGACGTTTTTTGGGTAACTTCACGTACAACTCATGAAATTGGTCATCTTCACTCTTCTTCTCCTCTTTCAGTGACATGCTATCTTCACATTTCTTCTCCTCCATTATTGGCAGGCTTTAAATTAAGGGGTATATGATGCGGCGGAGAAATGGAGATATATGCCTATTTAGGAGATGGTAGATAGATTGTAGTGTCTTTGCTCTTGCTTTCTAGCTACTTTTATAGGGGGCATCTTGCTATTTTCTTTTATAATTAAGCAAAAAGGGATGAACATATGAAAACGTCCAACAATCGAATATTTTTCATTAAAGTATTGTGTAACATTGTGACCGTCTACAGTAATGCTGTTCAAAAATTAATAATACTAAATCACGTATTACTTTTAAATAAGAATTTACTTTTTTAGGCTGATGATACTGTCAAAACAGTAATTAGCTGCCAAAACAAAATATAATTATGTTTTACCAAAATTGAGCTCAGTTAGGTCAAACTTTAATTCAACGCGTTCCCCTCAATTCCCAATTTCTCACTACTGATATTCTAACATATGCCGATGATCTTCTTTCTTTGCAAAAGATTAATGAAAGTCAATAAGGGCAATAAATTGCCTTTCATACTTCTCATGAAATTGCATCAGGTATGCTTTGAATCAATATGGTAACAAATTTCAGAATAATTTTCTTATTCGAAAAGAAAAATCTGCCATTATGTTTTGTACTAAAACCATAAGATGGGATCCACCATTCGATCGGCTCCGGAGTCACCATATACAGACTTGTGATTTTGATTGTTGGATATATGATTTCTTGGATTTGATTGCCATCCCATATCTTCGATAAAGATATTCGTATTTTTAGTAGATGAAGATAGTACTCAAATTTTCATCGACGAAGGATGGAAATGTAATCTTGACTATAAGTTTTGCGGGTGGAGGATAAATGGTAAACAACGGTGATCGTGATTACAATATGGCCCGGAAAAAATCTGCAATTTGGTTGGCAGCGGGAGCGGATCAAGAAAGGAGGAAATAAGTTTGACCTAATCAGTAAGGGTATTTTGGATAAAGCACATGTAATTTGTTTTGACCGTTAACTATAGTTTTGGCAATTATAGTTGCGGCAATAAATTTTAGGTTATTATTAAAGACTGAATTTTATTTGAACTTCAGAGAGAGATTTTTTATATTCCTCCTTTTAGACGGAACTTAATTCATGTTTTCATATTGAACAAAATCTGGTAATGGTCTATTAGTTTTTTTTCAAAATTTAAAGAAACTCAATTAAGTTTTTTATTAAGTTATGATAAACTCTATCTACTTAAGACCACTAGTTTAATTCACCAGACATTGCATGATAATTTATATGATACCAAAAGAAAATTTAGTTAAGGAAATTTCGTATCAGTTTGGTAAAACTGGTTAAGACGCTTTAGACAAAGAATAAAGTTGACGAAATTTTTAATTCACTTCACTCATGAGAAGTCTCAAATTTATGTTACATTCATTAAAGAAACAAATAAACAATGGGATTGGTGGCATAAGTTTTTCATGTTATTGGAACTAATAAGGACATATGTAGACCATTCTTTACTGATTTTTTTCTTGGAGAGGTCAAACATATTGTATTATCTTCACTGATAAGTTTCCATGGCTTATCTTTTGTCATCAACGAGAAGTAGACATGTTCAAAATTTTAAAGCCAAAGTTGTAAATCAACTTTGCAAAAAAATTAATGTCATCAAATCTTTACCATTGTGACAAAACTATGGTAGATACGATAAATTAGGTGAATTACGTCTAGGGTCATTCATCAAATTCCATAATGAATATCGTCCTATAGTACACCATGCCAGAAAAGTATTTCTACTAATGGTGTTATTATAAGATGAATTAGGAAACTAAAGAACAGAGTAAATAGTATGACAAATCGTACTACTTAATTAAACTATTGTAAGAAATAGACATAACGGCTGCAAATTAAATATTTAACAGAGCTCCAACTAAATTAACAATCCTTATGGATGTGCAAATAACCTGGAATTAGGAATTTGTATGTTTTGGGAAATCCAGTTAGAGCAAGATCTCATGGGTCTAAAAAAAAGTTGGATTTGGTTTGTTTCTATTTTGTTGGATACACAAATGCCTAGGGGATATGAGTTTTATGATCCAAAAGTAGTCCTTCTTTTAAACAGAAAATGTGAGCTCTTTGAGGATATTGAGTTAGAGGGGAAAATGAGGTTAATGACGTCGTCTTTGAAGGTTAAGTTAAGACAATGTTGAAACTTTTCCTTATCAAGATAATTCTAAAAGGCTAACTCAACAATCTCAAGAACAATTCTCATTAAGGAATCCAATGAAGAGAGAAGAAATACGGTTACGATTAAAACCATGAAATAGAGAAACAAAATAATTGAGAAAAATAACATCTAGGCTATTTTCTCATTACCCAAGGGTGATGTAGAAAGACATAAGGGGTTATTTTACCAATAAAGAATTTAGTCATAAAAATGGCATTAGTGATATAGAGACTTTCTCTTCGGTATTGTTGAAAGACTCTTTTAAGAATATAGTAGCATATATAGTACATTTTTTATTTTGGGATTGATAGATGGATATTAAAAGACCTTAATGGTGATATTTTGAGACACTCTATTTGGTGCAATTGGAAAACTCTGTTTGATAGTTTGCAAATGATAAACTATGAGCTTAAATAAGTTTCCCGTTTGTAACTCAAGTATCTCTAAGTTTTCATCTCATTTGGTTTTGAGGTGAATATTGTGATGATCATACACTTCACAGTTTAAGTGGGAGTTTAAGGCAGATAATTATATAAAAGAAAATGTTTAGATATTTAGTAGCAGCTATAAGGTTACCAGGAATCATTAAGACATTAAAGATTATACGCTCACATATCGGAATTCGGTCTAGTTAGAGATCATTCAGTATCCAGACTTCGATTTTGTTTAGTTGTGTATATTGTCACAAGGCTGCAAATGCAGTATGGTCTCAAAAGACTATTAATAAAGTTATAAAGCGACAATAATGCTACAATTTAGATGCTCGAATAACAATGATATTAAGTTATTAATTGTTAGGTGCAAGTTCAGAATGAACATATTTTTTAAGGAGTGCATTCGAACAAACTCTAAAATCGCAGAATACTTCAACTAAGATATTCATCGACTATTTTGCTCAAATGAATGTTTTGTCATCTGATGATGTGACGGTTCAATGGGAGTTTGTAATTCTGATTTTGTTTTAAGGGTTCATACATTTATGAACATTTAGATATATTAATACAGCAGTATAAAGTCTAAAGTCTTAAGTATAGTTTAATATATAAGGTTAAGATTTCTCAGTGTGCTTACATTTTGAAATTTTGGTTCAATCTCATTAAAGTGTAAAGAGGACCAGTTAGAAATATGCATGTTAAATATCACATTACATATAATTTCCATGCTACGCATTCACACTTGATCCATGTCATTTAGTTATATTAATGTAGTGGCCGCTCATAGTTTAGTTACAATTAGTGCAATGAGTGCCCCTTTGATCCTATGTTAATGTAATTTATGGACGGAATTGTTTAAGATACTTTTATGATAGCAATTTTGAGCGCTCTTAAGATTATGGTGTAATATACATTTATAAGGAATATATAGTGTATAGTATAAGTGGGAGATTGTAAAATCTATGTGAACTTAATACACTAATATATAATAATTGTATATGATATGCTATCTTAAAGTTCCAGTCCAATTAAAGTGATCTAATTAAAGATACTTAAGTTTAGGCTTATGACAAAAAATTAAAGTGTGGTCCAGCATTGTCTAGAAACCCTAAAGCCCGATTTCTTGTTCTGTGATGGTGGAACCGGAAACCCCATTATATATTGGTTGTGGACTCCGGATGAGCCGTCATGTGAAAAATCTCGACTCCCAATCTGTCAAAGGTTCCTACAAGGCTTGATGGAATCATTTGGAAGGCTAAATCCGGATCTGTATTCCTGCGATACGGATTAGGTACACTTCTGCTTCCATACATTTCTCGATAATCTGATGTGGAGGTCTCTACGGTATTTAGATTTATTCTAACAAGTGACATCAAAATGACAGCTGATAAATCCAGGACAATTTCTCTCCAGGGTTTATTTTATAAAAGTCTTATTTTATCCTTGATTAATATTTTCTCACTTTTTTTTTTATTTATCAAGCGGAAATATCTAAACGCACCAAATCTTACTCTTTTAAAGGAGGTTTTCTCATCTTCTTCCGCCCTTTCAATCAAACAAAGCTTCTCCTATTTTCCCAACCACCACCCCCTTCCTCCCTTTTTTTTATGACCCCTCTAAAAGTTATTGCGCCACTGAAAGCGTAGCGGCAAGTCGGCCGTGTTGTTTCCCTTACGCAATTAAACACGACTTCGGTATTTTTTATTTTTTATTTTGTTTACTTTCACAATTCAAGTCAACAATTTGCCTACTCTTATTTGTGTTATCTTTATAAATGAAGTAAGTTATAATCTAGAATTTATATTTTTCTTTTTTTCCATTAATTAATTATTGAATTACTTTTTTAATATTGTTTGGATGAATGGGTTTCTGTTTTCTTTTACTAATGGAAGTTTTGTTATTGTTATGTCCTCATGGTTAACAAAAACTTCTTTTTTTTAAAAAAAATAATTTAGCAATGTAAAATCTAGCAATAAGAATCTTATATTTTGATGTTTGTAGCCATAATCTAATATGTAGCCCTAATCTAACATGGCATTTGTTAAAAGTAAAAAAAAAAAAATGATTATTTGAATTAAAGGGATTGCGGTTGAATGAAAGAGTATTAATCCTTAATTGATATTGGGTGTTTTAATTTTTAACGAGTTTATATCTTTTAGTCTATTTAACTAGGTGTACGTACATTTCGGTAAAGAAATTAATGAGTATTTGATCATGATAGCTTTTTATCATTCTATAAAAAAAATGAAATTGACAAATAAAAAAGGTCTAAAAAATGAAAAACAACAGTGGCGCACAATCTTTTGGTTGGCGCACTCATCGACTATATCAGTCAGGTGACAAGTTAAATATCCATTTTAGTTAATAAGGGTAAGATCGTGCTTCTTAAAACTAGCCATGGACTTTTTTTTTCTTTTTATACAATTCTTATAAACACTAAAACTATTACATGGCTAAGTCTTGGAGAGAAGACCTACTACTGGCCTAGTCTAATAGGTGACAAGTCAAATATCTATTTAGTTAATAAGGGTAAG